AACCGCGGTCGACTACATGAGAGTCCAGCAACATAGCCATTATGCTAACTGCTGGTTCCCCCCAGCATGATTTTCAAGCTGCCAGGTCTGGATTTGGGGCTTAAACTACAGTTGGCCATGTGGGGATCTAACGCTTAACCACAACGTCACCTGCTGGCCCTAAAAATCTTCATTTTTACAAGTGCTATTTTACTGTTATAGAAGGGAAACAAACTCTGCAACTTTACCTAGTTCCTGCCATGACAATGCTCAATAGCTGTTTGCTAAAAGAATATTTAAATCAGTAGAGTTAGAAGAACTGGGTTCCAGTTGTGGCTCTACCACTGCTGCCACTTGCTGTGACTCTGGCAAACCATCTCACTCTCTGGAGCCTTTTTTTTTTTTTTTTTTCATGTCTTCTGTAGGGTGGTTATAAAGACCCTTCACATGAATGAGACAACTTAAAAGGTTCTGAAATCTGGAAAGTATAACACAAATGTGAGGTATTATTATGCCTATAAATATAAAAAACTACTTTAGGGTAAGGGAGGCAAGATAAGGTTTCAAAGGAAATACATGGTGGCTATCTTAGATGGAAACATAATAAGATTCTCCTCCAAACTCTCAGCTTCTGGCCTTTGCCTTCAATAAGAGGACCCCCCCCCACCCCCAAGGCCTTCATCCATTAATTCCTACTGACCTTCAGGCTCAACAGAAACATGTCTTTGAAGAGCCTTCCCTGACCCATTGATGTGATCCTGTTTTTCCTTTTATAGCATTAGTTCTCTTTCTTCACTTAATGTATCTATTGTGATGCACTTTTGTTTATTTCTGTATCATCTGTGTCCCCTTTAGACCAATTTCACAAATATGAGTTTTCTTACAGATATAACTTGCAAATATCCAAAACATGACACATACAGATTTTTTAAAGAATTTTCTGTGGAATGCATGCACTTGCTGGAGAGAGGGAGGGATGTGGCCATCCCCAGAGGGGATGCTGCAATCCTTTCTCCCTTTTCTCAGGATTTTGGGCATGCACGCACATGCTCCTGGCATGTTTCTCAAGCCACCAGGTCTAGGACTGGAAGCACACAGTCAGCCATATAAGATCCAGCTGCCTTAAGTACCAGGCCTCCTGGCTGGCTCCATATAAAATGATTAACTGCAATATTATTTAGAAGTAAAATACTGGAAACACCCTAAATACTCATCAACAGATGATAGATAAATGAACTATGGCAAAACAGAATGAGTGGGGGTCAGCCAGTGGCGTGGTGGCTAGGTGCACTAGATTCCCATGTAACCGACCATGGTTTGAATCCTGGACCTGGCAGCTTGCTTTCTCACTCTCTCTGTCTTACTCTGTTCCTCACTGTTAAAATTAAAAGAAATAAATAAGTTAAATAAAATAATTATTTTAAAAGAAAGAGAATGAGGATCTTTTAAAAAGATCTAATACTACTGTTAAAAGTTAAATAATGACTAAGTCTATTTGAGAGGCTGAGAGAGGAGAACTGAGAGTTTGAGGACAGCCTGGACAACACAGTGAAACCTTTCTCAAGAAAGAAAAAAGGAATAAATGAAGGCCACAGGCTCCTCTTCCTAGAGGTAAGGCTATGAAGAAGGCAGATAACAGGGACTAGTCTGGGTAAGGGTGTGGGAACCTCTTATAGGCTAGGAAGTTATAAGTGTATTTGTAGGGAACTTGCCAGCATTGGTAGAGAAGGTGGAGGTGAAATTCAGATAAAAGAACTAGTGGGATAAAACCCTTTAGAAAGTGGGAAAGAATGATAAGAGAAGATAACATTTTTTTTTTTCTGAGTGATAAGAGTAAACAAAAGAGAAAGTATAAAAGACACGAGACAAGGAAAAGGCAAAGCCAGGCTGGTTCCCAACTCTTTTGTTGCACCCTGGCCCCCTAAAACCACAGCCTGGATCCTGTCAGGATAGGTTTTTTTGTTTTGTTTTGTTTTCCCTGAATGCCCCAGAACTACAATTTGAATCTCTATGCTCTTCCTTTAAAAAAAAATAAATAAAAATTGGGGTTGGTAGGTGGTTAAGGCATTGCATTCCCATATGGTTGCCCATAATTCGAGCCCTAGACCTGGCGGCTTGCTTTCTTACTTTTGCTCTCTCTCTGTCTAGTTAAATTAATAAAATAATTATTATAAAATTAAAAAAAAAATTGTGTTGTTTTCACTATAGGGCACATGTGCACTTGCCAAAGACAGAGAGAGAGAAATTATGAAATCATTCCCTCAGGTGAGATGGCCACACCACAATCCCTTCTCCTCTATTCTCCTTTTGGGATTTCAAGCATGTACGCACATATTCCTGGCATGTTTTCCAAGCTTCTGGGCTTGGAACTTGAACTATGCAGTCAGCCATGTTGGGTCCAGCCTCCATAACTACCATGGCAGAGGCCCATGTTCTTCCTTTCCTAAAGGCTGTGTTTATACATTTTTAAGAGAATCTTCTATGAGCCAGGCACAGGCATAAATGATGGCAATGTGGGTTCTAATGGGAAGCTCAGAATCCAGCAGGAAAGACAGAGGCCTACTGTCATCTTCTAGACCAGCCTCATGGTACTAAGCATAGCACTAGAAAGACAGGGTTTTCCTTTGCCATCTCCCTTTGCCAGACAAATGAGTTCTGGCTCCATTTGAGTCCTGTAATGAATGCCATGTGCATACTTGGTCATCAGCCCTCTCTAATGCACAGGATGCAAAGAGCTGGAAAGCAAACAGGGTGGTATTGGATCTTTTACAGATTCTCTAGGCTCCATGCCGTTTTCCAGTCTGATTGGGAGTATGTGGAATTTTTTTTTTTTTTTTGGAGAGGTTTTCGCTATAGGGTGCATGCACTTGCCAGACAGACAGAGAGAGACATAGAGACAGAAAGCGAGAAATCACCCCCCATGGGGGATGGTCACACCGCAATCCCTTCTCCTCCATTCTCCTCCTGGGATCTTGGGCATGCACGCACATGCACCCGGCGTGAGTTTTAAGCCATCGGGTCTGGGACGTGAACCGCGGTCAACTACGTGGGAGTCCAGCGACATGGCCATTACACTAACTGCTGGTTCCCATGGAATTTCTTTTTTCTTAATAATTATTTTATTTAACTTTACTTATTATTATTATTTCTTAATTTTGGCCAAAGAGAGACTGGGGGTGGGGGGGAGTGAGAAAGCAAACTGCCATCTGGGAACTCAAACCACAGTCAGCCATGTGGGTGTCTAGCACCCTTAACCACCATGCCACCTATTGTCCCCCGTATGTGGAATTTCTGAGTGAACACAATTTCTTCTCCTCAGGCAGTTCCAACTCTTCATTACTGCTCTGGGCCTTTATGTCGGAAAGCTTCCTGGGGTTGCGGATCAGGCTTTCAGCTGAACAGGCTGGGAGACTGGCTGCTCCTTCCCCATTCAGGCAGTGCTGTGTCTCCCTATGGACACTAGGGGGCAGCTGGAGCCGCTACTCCAACCACCTCCCCAACAGCACATTCTCACAAAGGAGAGCCCCTTAGAAGACCTGTGCTCTTGTTTGCTTTTCACCCGCTTCTTATAGAACCTCACTCCATGAAGCAGGATTTGTACAAATGCCTTATACCGGTTTCAGCGAAAACTGCAGGTTTAGAAACCTCCCCTTTCTTCATACTCCCCCCTCAGAAATATAAAAATAAAACTAGGCTTGTCAGAAGAGACACTCATCTCTCAAAAATCACTTTTCTACTTCATATGCAATAGCTCTTCATATCATGATCACAGAAACACCCTCATGACCACCGTGTCTTGGAAAATGAGTCAGGTCTGCTGCTTATCAACAATCAATTTTGGCCAAGTCACTGGCCAAGTTGAGCCAGTTTCCTCACTTGCAAAGTGGAGATCTTTCCTTCCTCATGGACATAACATGGAAAATTCCAAGAGATGACAGGATTCTCAGTAAATGTAGGTTGACTCTGGGTTTGGTTATAGTTTGATTGCTTTTTAGGATGACCGGACACTGGACAAAGGGTTCAGTGCCTGGGATGGCAGTGGGTTGAGGTTTGCCTTCTCTCTGGGTCTGCTCTGTAAGGTCTGTCTTTAACCAATCGTGATAGGTAGGCACTTCTTAAGGGACTGGTGTTTAACAACCTTATACTGGTTGCTTGAGCTAGTATTCCTGTTCCCAAGAAGGCATCTCTCTTGCTAAATTCGATAGTCCTGTCAACAGCACACAAATGGATCAATATCTCCACATACTACTGGCCATTTTTAAAAAAGAATTATTTAACGTTGTTATGTTTATTTATATTTTAATTTGACCAGAGAGAGAGAGAGAGAGAGAAAAGGAAGGTGAGAAAGCAAGCTGCCAGGTCTGGGAGTCCAGTGTCATAACTACCATGCCACCTGCTGGCCCCCAACTGCTGGCCATTATTGATCTTCAAGATTTTTGCCAATACTATATGCAAAATTATCATATCCAAGTGTGCATTTTCTCTGACTAGAGTAAGGATTTTTTTCTGGGCATTACTTGCTTATATTTCTTGTCTGTTATTCTATTTCTTCTTTCTTATTTACAGGAGTTTAAAAATAGTTCATTGGGGGCTGCAAGGTGGCATGGTAGTTAAATGTGCTGGACTCCCACATGGCTGACCATGGTTTGAGTCCAGGCCCCAGTAGCTTGCTTTCTCACTTTCTGTCTCTCTCTCTTGCTCTGTCCCTCTCTGGTCAAATTAAACTAAATAAATAAATAAAGTTAAATAAAATGATTCTTCTAAAAAAATAGTTCTTTGACATTAACTGTTTTTCATGTTATACTGTCTATCTGCTTCATGCCTTTAAGCTTTATTTAGGGTAACTTTCATAATCTAGAACTTGACCTGTGTGATTTCTTTTTCTTTTCTTTTCTTTTAAAGTTTTTGCTATAGGGTGCATGTGATTGTCAGAGAGTAAGAGAGAGGGGGAGAAAGTAAGAAGTCACCTCCTAGGGGGAATGGCCCCACCGCAATTCTTTTTTCTCCAGTCTCCTCTCAGGATTTGGGGCACACATGTATGTATTCCTGGGCATGATTTACAAGCAGCTGGGTCAGGGACTCAAACTTTGCACTTGGCTATGTGGGACCCAGTGCCTTAACCTCCATGCCACTTGCTGACCTGACCTGTGTAATTTCTATTTATTAGAATTTATAGAGATTTTGTTCTTTCATATATGGTCAAATTATGGGGGAAGTCATTAGAAGGTTCATGGAAAACAGTTATTATGCAAACATTATGGATTTCAATATTTTTTCACCAAAAGAAACTTGTACTTTTTAAAAATATTTTTTATTTAACTTTATTTATTTTAATTTGACTAGAGAGGAACAGAGAAAGAGAGAAAAAGTGAGAAGGCAAGCTGCCAGGTCTGGGACTCGAACAGTGGTTAGCCATGTGGGAGTCTAGCACCCTTAACCACCATGCCACCTGCCAGCCCCAATAAACTTTAATTTTATGTTTCCATGAAGTTTTTGAAGTCCTCTCATAAAGGGATTATGTGTTTGAAAACCGTATATATTCTGCCTGTTGGTTATAAAGTTCTACTTAAATTTATGAGATCAAACTTGTAAAATCAAATCATCTACTTTCTTATCTAGTTTATCTGTTAAGCTTGTGAACAAGTGTATTATAGTTTCCTACTCTGTTGGTTCATTAGATCCTCATTGTCTAATAGTTTTTACTTTATGAATATCAAGGGTACACTATCAGTTACTATAAGGACATGATTATGAGAACTTATTTGTAAATTAAAATTTTTTTGTTGATCAAAAGACACTATTTTTTCCTTAATTTTATTTATTCATTCATTTATATTTTAATTTGACCAGAAAGAGACAGAGACAGAGAGAGACAGTGATAAAGCAAGCCACCAAGTCTGGGATCTGAACCGTGGTCAGCCATGTGGGAGTGTCCAGCATCTTAACCACCATGCCACGTGCTGGTCCTGCTTATTTGTAAATTTTAACTTTAGTAGCATAAAATGTCTTTTCTAGTCCCCACTCAAGAAATGAAAAAGAATTAAAAAGAAAATAAAGGGACTAGCAGCTGGCATAATGGCTATGTCGCTGGACTCCCATATAGTTAACTGTGGTTCAAGTCCCAGACCTGGTGGCTTCAACTCACGCCGGACACACGTGTGTGCGTGCCCAAGATCCTGAAAGGAGAATGGAGAAGGGATTGCGGCATGACCATCACCCCTGGGGGGGTGATTTCTCACTTTCTGTGTCTCTCTGTCTTGCTGGTGAGCATATGCACTCTATAGCAAAAACCTCTCAAAAAAAGAGAAGAAAAGAAAGAAAAAGCAATCAACTTGCTCATAGTGACATGGTGGTAAGTTCTGGGAAGAGCGAGAATCCAGAAGTCTGGGCTCTGGCCTCAGTCTTGCCACCCTGTGGGCTGCACAACCAGGTGAATTACTTAACTGCTTCACGTGTAAAATGACATACTTTTTTTTTTTTTTTAAATTTTGCTATAGGGTGTATGTGCTTGTTAGAAAGAGGCAGAGAGAGAGAAAAAGTGAGAAATCACCCTCTGGGGGGTTTACCACATCACATAATGCCTTCTCTTCCATTCTCTTCTTGAAATTTTGGGCATGCACACATGTGTTGTTTCTCAAGCTGCTGGATACAAGACTCGAACCATACAGGCAACCATGTGAGATCCAGCTACCTTAACCTCTGTGCCACCTGCTGGCCTAAAATGGCTAAATTTTAAGGGTTCCTTCCAGATCTCAAAACTCAGTGATTAGAAGACTTTGGGCAGGCTGTGGGGTAGGAAGAATAACTTACCAAAGCTGTAACTTCCAGTTAGCATCCGACTGGCTGGCAGTGAGGATGGAGGAAGGGGGAGAGAGAGTTTAAGTCACTGGCTTTTCCCCAGATGTCAGTCTTTCAGGCCCCAGCTGCCCTCCCATGTATCTAGGAAGTCCAAAAGAAGAGGGGTGGCCCAAAGATGTTGGGAGCTCAGTAAAGAACTGAATGCTGTACGGCCTTTAGTGTCTCTTGCAATTGTTAAGCAACACAACATAGAGTTTAAAGGCCTTTGCTCTCAGAGAGATGGGTGTGGACTTCTGGAGGTTCCTTGACCATTTAGGACAGTATACCACACAGGCAATCAGAATATTTTAAGAAAAAGGTCTATTTTCAATTTTTCTAGAACTCAGGTCTTCTATAATTCCTAGTCTGACATTTCCTAATGTACAATTTGCACAGCTTCTGCCTCAATTTTAGTCATTTTCCTTATGTGAAAAACAGAATAGAGCCCCCTTCTTCCTGACAGGAATGTGTCAAGCCACTCTTATCCTTTCCTGGAGCTTCTTCGTGCTTTGTCTCCTTTGCACAGCTCTTTATGTTTGTGGGGTGATGGATGGACATGGGCAAGTGGATGCAGTTGGAAGAGGAAGGGCACCAGTGAGACAGAGTCTACCTGTGGGTGTTGGCTGGGCCTGGAATGGGGCTTGGCCAGCTGGAGGGATATTTCCAAATGCAGAAGGGCTGGGGCTACTGCCAAAGGCATCAAAGTTGGCAAAGCCTCCATGGGAAGATGTCTGGCCTAAAGGTGGAAGGAATGCAGAGGTTAGAAATAGAAAACGTACATGCATGTCTATAATACATCTATTAATTCTAAAGGCCAAAGGCCACTCTTATGAGACATCTGCTTTTCTATAGAGTCCTCTTAAAAGGGAGTCATAGGGGCCTGGGGCTGAGAGCCGGACTGACATAGGACAAGAGCATCCAGAGGCCTCTAAGTTCACTCCCTGCCATATTTTATCCTTACTCCACAAGGCGTTAATGTTTTGGTCAGGGCCTAGTTTGGGATAGCATTATGTGAAACAATTTTTTTTTTGTTCAGGGGAAGGGACTTGAAAAGAAAAAGAGAAATTAGGTACTGCTTTGTTGAACCCTCAAGTGGCTACTGCTGATCTCTAGGAAGCGGGCAAAAAAAGTGGAATACATGCTACTCCCTCTCCTCCCATTTAATTGAAAAAGTAATAAAAAAGGGTATTTCAAATGTTTACAAGGAAATGCTGGGAGTCTCCAGATGTAATGATTTCAGTCAAGCTTCCAAATATAACCCCTGCTGTGCTCATGTGATTTAGATTCTCCCACCTTCCTGTTTCAGAATAACCATCACATTTATTCATGTGAAAAGATCTAGAGTCACAGGAAACATGGACACCCCTAAGGACTGAATTTCTTATGTTACAGATAAATATATTGTGGGGGTGTTCTCATCCCAAGTCCCGCTTACCTCCAAAGGCTGAGAATGCAGCAAAAGCTGGGGCTACCTGGGGAGCAGCAAAGGGGTCTCCTCCAATATCAGCCAGCAGGTCAGTACTGGCTTTCTTGACAGAGGAGTGGGGAGGTGGCTGAGAGCTCCGGGCCTGGGATGTCCGAGCCTGAGATTGACTGCCAGACTTGGAGAAGAAAATGTACTTACAATTTGGCATTTAAAAGTTCCAGATACGACCCCAGCCCCTCCATGACTCCTCAGGCTGCCCCAGACAGGCAAGTGTAGAGAGAGAGAAACTGCCCTCGACCTAGAGGTTTCATGCGCAGAAGCTGCATTAGCCCCTTTTGTACTTCATGTCATCCTGGTGTTTTTACTACAGAGCTCCCAGAACACTGGAGGGCGTACTCATCAAGGTAACCATGAGATACACAGGAATGCTACCTGGTACCTTCCCCAGGTACTGGAGGCAGTGTCCTGGCCCCTTCTGTGCTTGTTTGGAGGGAATGGTCAGGTTCAGAACTGATACTCTGACTTCCCTAAATACCACTTCCTGTTAGGTTCTATCTCTAAAAGATAAGAGGCCCAGACTTGACAGATACAAGAGATAAGGTAACAGTAAGGCTGAAAACCAGCTTGCAGCTCCTATACTGTTGTCTGCTAAGTCTAGAGAATTTAGCTTAGGAAACTGACACTTTTGTCTCCCAAATCTCAACATAAACCTGAATTGTGTATCTGAGAGTTACCTGGCTTGAAATGGAGGCAGGAGCTGAGAGAGATGGCATAGGATCACCCAGAAGTGTCCTCATGGGTTTCCCTTCTGGGACGGAGCCCTGCACAGGGGTGGAAGCACTGCCTTTGGTATATGCAGGCCCCTTGACTTGGTCTGGGGGGACGTACCTTTAAGAAAGAATAGTCAGGCTGTAAAGAGGGGGGGTAAAACCTTGGACTATGCTCAGCTTAGTTGTCTGAGAAAACAGGTTAGAGAAGTAAAAGTCCTTTCTCATTTTTTTCTCTACTGATTTCCTTTTTTGATGTAAAGGGAATTTGGTAACTTAGCAAAGTCCTGCCTATCTTGCATGTCTGTTTTTGTTTTGCCAGGGGACACATGCGCTTGCCAGAGAGAGAGAAGGAAAATGAGAAAGCATCCCCCATGGAGCATGGTTATGACACCATGCTCTCTTCTCTTCCATCTCTCCCCTCTCTCTTCTTTCAGGATTTTTAAGACACTGGGTCTCAGACTTGAACTACATGGTTGACTAGTCACCTTAACCACCAGGCCATGGGCTGGTCCCCTCTTATTTGTATGGATGCTCATTTTGCAGTTTGCTCTGCTTTATGCCCATTTTTCTCTCCTCTTTTTGGCACATCAAACCATCTATGTTTCAAGTAATAACACATGCAGTAATACTGGCAAACATGTGATTCTATTTTCCATCTTCCCACACAAGGTCCTCTTTTATTTCCTGGATGTTGTTTCTTCAGTTTTCTCTTTCTCAGTACCAGAGAAAAGGTATCTGCTATCTCATCCTGTAAAGGCTTATAATCTATGCTTCTACCATGCCAGCTTCTGGCACTTCCGATACAATTCTCTTCCACTATAATGTGTGTTAGGTTCCTACTCTGGAAGTATCTTTAGTTCTGAGGACTAAAGACTCCTTGGAGGGACTCCAAAATGTAGTAATCCACATCAGTCTCCTTGCTTTCTGCATTTTTTCTCCACTTTGTAGTTAGCCCCTGACATACACACACCCCAGTGATCAAACAAAGGAAGGGACATCTGGGGAGAAAAAGGTAAGAGAGGATGGAGATGCTGTTTTCTTCATCAGGAAAACAATACATACAAATCGTGACTAGGGGATGGATGTTGGTGCAGTGGTACAACTTAATGCTCTGTGAGGCTGCTCATGAGAACATCCCAGGCTCACGTCCAGCAATCTCCCTGAATACACTGAGTACACATGTTGCCATGAGAGTAGATCATAGTATCAGGACACTTTGGGGGGTGTTGTCTCTCTATCTCTGTCTATTTCTCTCACTCATGGAATAAACAAACATATATAAGTGTTTGCTTACACACACACACATGAATACGGGCCTGATTTGTAGCCTAGCAGTTAAGGGAGCTGGATCCTATACAGCCAACCACAGCTTGAGTCCTGGCCCTGGCAGCTTGAAAAACACACCAGAAGCATGTGTGAATGCCCCAAATCACAAACAGGATAGAGAAATGGAGAAGCAATTGCAGCATAACCATGCCCCATTGGCAGGGACGGGGGGAGGATGAGGGGAGGGCGGGGTAGGATGCTTACTCTCTCTTTCTGATGAGCACATCTACCCTCTAGCAATTAAAATAAACAAATCATGGGCCATCCAGCGATACAGTAGTTAAGATAGCTGGATCCCACATGACTGACAGTATGGTTCAAGTCCCAGACCCAGCAGCTTGAAGAACATGCCAGGTACATGTACATGCATGTCTAAAATCCTGAATAGAAAAATGGAGAAGGGATTGCATGGCCATCCCCATGGGAGATGCTTTCTCACTTTCCCTCTTTTTCTCTCTTCCTCTCTGTTTCTCACTGGTGAGTGCATGCACTCTCTAGGAAATTAAAAAAAAAAAAATCGTGAATAAACAATGTGCTAAAAGCATAAGGTTATATGACATGTGCTTTTCAACATCTCTCCTGGGACCAGCAGTTAGCATAATGGCTATGTCACTGGACTCCCATGTAGTTGACCGCGGTTCGCATCCTGGACCCGGTGGCTTAAAACTCACACCAGGCACATATGCGTGTGTGCCCAAGATCCCGAGAGGAGAATGGAGGAGAAGGGATTGCAGCATTGCCATCCCCCCTGGGAGGTGATTTCTCGCTTTCTGTCTCTCTGTCTCTCTCTGTCTGGCTGGAGCGCACATAAGAGGTCAATGGAGTTATAAAAATGAACTCTTGGGGCCAGCAGATGATGTGGTGGTTAATGCGCTGGACTACTACATGGTCAACTGCATTTTAAGTCCTGGACCCAGTGGCTTGAAACTCACACCAGTGTGCATGCCTGCATGCCCAAAATCCCAGGAGGAGAATGGAGAAGGGATTACAGCATGACCATCCCCCATTGGGATGATTTTCACTTTCAGTCTCACTGTCTCTCTGTTGAGTGCACATGCCTATGGCAAAAAACCTTAAAAGAATAAAAAAGGAATGAACTCCTACTCCCACAAGCCTATCTCCCCACTCCAATCAAATCTACTATCTCCACAAAGTGTGGACCAAATCTGCAGGGTTAAGAACCATTAATAGGACCAGCAGTTGGTGTAAGGGTTATGTTGCTGGACTCTCATGTAGTTGACCACAGTTTGAGTGCCGGACCCAGTGGCTTAAACTCACACCGGGCACGTGTGCGTGCATGCCCAAGATCCCGAGAGGAGAATGGAGGAGAAGGGACTGCAGCATGGCCATCCTCCCTGGGGGGTGATTTCTCACTTTCTGTCTCTTTGTCTTTCTGGTGAGCGCATGTGCTCTATAGCAAAAACCTTTCCAAATAAAGAAAAAGAAAAAGTCCTTTCATGTATATTTACTATTTTGAAGTCAGAATTTAGTCTTAATTTGGTCTCAGTAGAACAAAACTAAACCCAAGTTTAGCCTTTGAGAGAAACCCGAATTCAACTCTGGAACTAAACTATCCGTGGAAGCATGCTTTGGACACATCTCATAGAAACCTCTTTCCTTTTCCTTACCATCTCTTCTTCTCATACTTTTCTTGGAGAAATTCCTTCACCTTCTGAGGATCCCTGGAATCTGGTACTAAAGATGTCCGAGCATCAAAAAGACCCAGCCAAATCTTCCTGCAAACCTAAAGGAATAGCCAGATGATAGAAGAGTTTGGAGCAGAAAGCGTGAAATATGAAAGACACCACATCCAATTGATTCATCAATAAACATGTATTGAACATAGACACAGAGCTAGGATCTGGGTATGCCTACAAACTAGACATGGTCTCTCTCTTTACAGAGTTTATGATCTAATGGGGAGATCATGTCTTAGATAACATTGAAAAAGGAAAATAGAGGGCAATGAGAATTATAGAGAACTAAATTTGGATGGGGATGGGGACAGGGACAATTTTCACAGCTCTGGCTTCCAGGACATACTCCAGAGGCCCTTGCCCACACCCTCTAAGTAAGCCAATGACCTATATACTAGAGGTACTGCCAACACCAGGGATGGCAATGTCCACTCAGCACATTTAACTGGGGGGAGGGGTTTAACTCTCTTTCAAGTAAATGACAGGGACTTAAACCCAGATTGTCAACACTCAAGTCAGCAGAGCTGGCTCCGGCAGACAGAACTCAGAGGGGGGGTTAGCCCAGTCAACTGTAATATGGAGCTCTAACCAGAGGCTAACCTCTATAGAGATATTGCTTCTTCCCTGGATTCTTCAAAGAGGGGCCTAGATAAACCACATTTCATATAGCTAAGAAGCTGTCATTATACAAATATACATAAAACAAGAAACCTTACATACCAAAAATTAAGAGAAACTCAACCAGCAAAGAAAACTGTTGGATTTTTTTCACAATCCCATGGCAAAGTTCCACTAGCAGATAGGGTGACCACGGTCTTCTAACTGTTCCGATCAGTGGCAGCTTACCTCATTTCCACGAGACTGCAGAAATATTACTTCAGGCTCTGTGAAAGTTGTCATAGAGATGGACTTGACACGATGAGGTGGGTTCAGACCTCTCCTGTGGGAGAGAAATAGAAAAGTATAATGCAGGACTGTTTATGGGAAGAAGGGGAGGGAGAAAAGAAGGATAAACCAATAGCATATATGTGATGTTCAGATAGAACCCCAACCTGACACTACTATCTGATTCCAGAAAAGAAGAGAAACAAAAATATTTTGGAAGCTTCTAATGAGAGGGAAGAGGGTCAGGAATATGTTGTCATCCTAGTCATTCTGAAGAGGGACGGCAGGGTTTGCTCATCTAGAAGCCTCTTCTAGCCTGGCTTAGATCCCAACAGTTTCAGGCTCTGGCCTGCAGGCCGAAGGGGTGCTTCTGGGAGCTCTGACGTGCAGCTACTTCCTTTTCCTGTTTTATCATTGTTTTAGACCTGCAGCACATTCCCAACCTCCCAGAGTCCATGAAAATACAAATCCCGCCAAGCATGAAAGGCAAAAGCAAAGACCCATGAGTCTGCCTGATAACACTAACGAAGAATTTAGTGGCAAAAAAAAATCAAGGTTCCCAGGACCAACAGATGGTGTAATGTTACATCGCTTGACTCCCACACAGTAGACAAGGGTTTGAATCCCAGACCCAGTGGCTTAAAACTCACACTGCACGTGTGTTTGTATGTGTCCAAAATCCTAAGAAGAGAATGGAGGAGAAGGGACTGTGGCATGGCCATCCCCTCAGGGGGTGATTTCTCACTTTCTCTCCATCTCTCTCTGGTGAGCACATGTGCCCTATAGCAAAAATTTCTCTTTAAAAAAAAAAAAAAAAAGAGTCCCTAGGCTGGTTGCCCATACACTTGTCTATAAAGAAGGGTGGAGTAGTGATGGGGATGGAGAAGATATCTCTTTCAGGAAACTGTCTCTGGGAAAAGAAATATTCCAGATTTTCTTATTTCTAGACCTTGCAATTAAGAAAGGAAGAAGTCATGAGATATGAGACTAGCATGGGCCAGAGACATACATCCTGTAGTGATACTTTTGTGCCTGCTCTGTGTATTGTTAGCTCAATGGGAGTCCAGCTCTGCCTACAGAAACCCTGTGGAGATTACAGAAGAAAAGACTTCCTTCCTCCCACTCAGTTGATCACCAGAGTTGGAGGGGAACTGTGGGGCTAAACCACATAGGACTTCATAGGTCCGCTTTCTTTATACATTAGTATTACCCTGGTCTAGAGTATTGTCCTTATCAGGCTAAAACAAAAAGGGCTGAACCAGAACAAACAAGATAGATCTTATCAGCTGAGACTACCTTTCCTGCATATCTATAGTCTGTCACTGTAGGCCCAGGGTCTGCATCTTGGAGTCACATTCTCCCTGATCCATCAGTGTCTGACTAATGATACCCCACTGCATTGAGATGTATCTTTGTCCATATTTCCTGGTTCTTCTTGTAAGCTCCTGGTGATCAAGGAGTAGGTTAATTTTTATATCTTCTAAAATGACTACCACAGTGTTTGGTATTTGATGAGGCCTCTCCAGACTTTTACTCTCATGGAAAAAAAAAATAAGAAAATCAAGATGTTAAAATAAATATAGAATAGGGTCCTGGCTGATGCCCTCAGGAAAGAAAAGGGAGAGAAGATGTGAAAACAGAATTTACCAAATGGAAATCCTAAAAATTCACAGAGAAGGTAGGAAAAACACATGTTCACACTACGGGTGCACACACAGAATAAAGGGCTCCTGCCAAGTCTGAGAGAATGACAGCGTAGGTGTTAGTGTACGTGAGATAGAGTGGGGAGTGGGGGGACAGATGACACAGTACAGAGTGAACAGTAAAAGGCGGCCGCCCTTTTGGATGATAAATTACTCATTATGGGATTCTAACAAAGGACAGGCAGGACTCTGAAGGCTACAGCTGAGGTCGTTTTCAGAGATTCTGCTGCTAGATATTTGAGAAAAGGGTCTCAAAATACCCTTACAAAAGACAAGCAATATCAAAGAGGACTGATGCCCTGAGGAAAGATAAGAGCAGGGAAAACCAAAAGCAAGGCTTTGTTACCACATATCAAACAATACCTCTGAAATTTGATCTGCCCTGAAGACTCTTCGATCACATTTCAGAGACAGTCCAGCTTTCTCTCCTAAAGCCTCTCTTGCTAATGGCTAAGTGTGCTTTTGTTTTTGGTTCTGGCCATCCTGCTTTTAAACTCTTTCCACTGATCTTTCTCACCTTAACCACTGGGCCTTTCCCCCACAGAATGTCAGATCTTTCTGAAATCTAGCCACAGCAAACCTCATGGTCCCCATGATCTCGGTCCTCTCTCTCCTTTTCTAACAAATACTTACTTTGCTAAAATCCAAATCACTGGTAGGCACTTTGGAGGATATGAAAAATTAGTAGGAGTCTTTGACTACCAGGAGCTTACAAGGACCCAGGAGGCCTGGACAAGGGTACTTCTCAATGCAATAGGGTGCCAGTCAGTCAGGCGCCTTGAACCTCATACATGAGAATGTGACTCCTGGATGCAGCAGTAGGGGAAGGAAGAGAAAGTCATGGGAAAGGTAAAACGAATTATGTTTATACTAGAAAAACAGATTCTAAGCCTATCACAAAAGGGTCATTGACATTTCCTGAAAGGACAACCAGGAACTATTAGCAAACTGTAAACAGGAGGCATGATTCCTTGTTTAGGAGGAGGAGGAGGGAATCATTCTAGACATCAATGAAGAGAAAAGGCTTCAAACAACAGAACTTCTTATAACTAAGCCTGGATTGGAGGATTTCTTTTTTTTTGGGGGGGGGGATGTGTAGGGGAGGAAGATGATAGGATGAAGGAAAGGCAGAGAAAATAAATGATTTAGGTGCTCTGGGCCAAAAGAATCTGATGGAACAGGATGTTTCCATAGCACAGTACAAAAAGCATTGCTCTGACCTTGATGTCTGTAGACTGGATTATGTATAACCAGAGTCACAGTTTGGGGGCAGGGAGAATTCTCTACAAGGCAACACTCTGCAGCTCAGGAAGAAGGCCTAGTTACATGGCCTATGAGTCAGATATTTCTTTCTGAATCATAGAGAGGCCACTGCTGGCTGACAGAAGTAATTTAGAAGCAAGAGCCCCCCTTCTTCCAGTAGCTGAAACTAAACAAAGTGTGTTACATTTGGTTGGGTACATACCAGGGTCATGCTACAGGCCAGTTGTGAGTCACTAGCCTGCAATTAAACAGAATCACCTCTCCAGCTTGCACCAGCCTCCCCAGTGTAACTTTAGGGTTCTTCCAAAAAGAAGTAGCAACAGTTAGAAGGAGGCATGGCCCTTCAATCATCACAGCAAACCTATTCTGTTATTTCTAATCAGGAACTGCTGGGGAAATCCAGAGATAAATTTATTTTAGTGCAAATATTTCTACTTGAGAGCAAGTATATTACTAGGACTGTTGATCTACTTCAGTCTCTTTTACCACAGGGCACCTAAACAGCATTTCAAACACTCTGAATTCCCTGGCAAGTAAAGCCACTTGTATGTGTAGATGCTAAAGTCTGCCTAGTTCTCTTTCCTTCTTCTCCTCCCCCCCCCCACTTGTTTCTATTAAGCATACAACTATTTCCACAAATACCACACCTTTTGATCCTCATGGTCATCACCCTCAAGCTGGCCCATATTTTCCTTCTATCTTGCTTCATAAAAGCATCAAACCTGCTCAGCGGCTCAGATAAGAAGGTTCTGCCAGGTCAACAATGGAAAAAAACCAGTTCCACCCAGCACCCAACTTCTTTTATTTGTGCCAGATTTGGGCTTGGGAATTCTCTGCCTCTGAATATTTGTGTTAAAATTTATACAACCAGATTATGTTTCTTTGCTCCTGGGATTCCACTGTTCTGTCACTGAGCAGGGAACAGCTACATAAATTTAACTCTTCTCTTAGACTCAGACATCACTAAGAAGAGTCCCTACTAGGTCTTCAGTAGTTCCTACTAAAAAGACTCCAGGGTCAATTTCACTAATTTTAGCAAATCTCTTCCTAAATTCTGTTTCAACCCATTTCCTTTGTTCTCCAAAACCACCTTCACATATAGGGTCAGATAGAGTGCTGCTAATAATAGGAGCTGCTCTTCTTTTCAAACTCAATCTTAATCCTTTTCTTTCCCCCTCTTCTTCTCATCCCTATAGTAATATACTACTTCCTTATGGGCTTTTCAAATTATTCATGCTCCCTCCCCCTTATGATATATTGCCTAAATCTATAACTTAGTGGGACTGTCCACCCTTGCCCGGAAGACTCATGAATGTGAAAGGTGAGGGAGGTGGGGGTGAACAGTTGGGACTAAAATAGGGGCAAGGTACATGTGTACCTCTCCAACCCACACGGATGGAAAAGTACTGAATTATTAAACAACAAACTACAATTCCTTTCCTTCCATGGAGATAAAAATGCTTCAACTAGGAATTACTAATAGCAAGCCTGATCATGAAAGGAACTTGTCACAAATAAAGAGCTGTCAAGCACATCACTTAACATCCGGCCCAGAGCCCAGATGTTAAGTGATGTGATAATGGGAGTCAGAAATAAGGTGGGCAGAAGTGGAGAAGACAAATATCCATTACAGAGACTTGAAGGACAATGGATTAAAGAATGGACCCAAACAGCCAGGCCAGACATTGCTTAAAAAATTGTGTGTCAAAATTAGTGGCCATCTCTGATGTCAATGAGATCTCAGGCCTCAATGTCCCTTTTTTTGTTTGCTTTTAAAGAGAGATTCTTGCTATATGGTGTGTGTCCTTGCCGGAGAAACAGAGAGACAGACAGCAAGAAATCACTCCCTCAGGGGAAATGGCCAACCTGCAATCCTTTTTTCTCCATTCTTCTTTCTGGATTTTGGGCACAACATGCACACACACTGGTGTGAGTTTTAAGCTGCCGGGTCTGGGACTTGAATTGCAGTCAACTATGTGGGAGTCCAGTGATGTAACCATTACGCCATCTGCTGGTCCCATCAATGTCCCCCCCTTTTTTATTTAAGTTTGCATGTGCGTTCACTGGAGAGAGACAGAGAGAGAGAAGAAGGAAAGCGAGAAAGCAACCCCAGGGAAGGCCCTGCCACAATCCCTTCTCTTCCATTCTCCTTTTGAGATTTTGGGCAAGCATGCACATGCACCCAGTGTGATTTTCAAGTCACTGGGTCTGGGACTTGAACTGTGGAGTAGGCCACGTGGGATCCAGCCAGCTAAACCTCCACACCACCTGCTGGCCCCAATGTCCCTTTTCATAAAAAGTGGTTTATTCATACAATGAATAAACTTTTAAAAACCTCTTTTAAAAAGTTCATGGAAAACTATATTACTAAAAAAAAAAACTATGCATGGATTTCAAATTTTTGAACCAAAGTAAACTTTTATTTTAATTTTACTTTTTCCATGAACTTTTCAAAGTCTCCTCATAGAGGCATTCAGGCAAACCAGAACAAGAGAGAATTAGTTAAGGTATTGCTTTGGAAATTGATGCTTGTTAAGCAGCAGCAATTTTCACCCTATCTTAAGCTTTAAGTGGCAGATTCATTCTTCTGTAAAAGAGTTAGAAATGTAACTACACAGGGTCAGCAGGTGTGTTTAGATTAAGGCACTGGATCTCACATGGCTGATTGTATGATTCAAGTCCCAGACTGCAGCTTGAAATCACACCGGGCACATGTACATGCCCAAAATCCTGAGGATACTGAAAAAGGGACTATAGTATGGTCATCCTCCTGGGAGTGATTTCTCACTTTCTCTCTTTGGAGAGTGCACATCCCCTATGGCAAAAACCTAAAAAAGAGAAGAAAGAAGAAGAAAGAAGAAGAAGGAGAAGAAGGAGAAGGAGAAGAAGAAGAAGAGGAGAAGAAGAAGAGAAGGAGAAGAAGGAGAAGAAGAAGAGAAGAAGAAGAGGAGAAGAAGAAGAGGAGAAGAAGAAGAGGAAAAGAAGAAGAAGGAGAAGAAGAGAAGAGGAGAAGAAGAAGAAGGAGAAGAAGAAATATAACTAAAGTCCGAGCATCAAAAAGACCCAGCCAAATCTTCCTGCAAACCTAAAGGAATAGCCAGATGATAGAAGAGTTTGGAGCAGAAAGCGTGAAATATGAAAGACACCACATCCAATTGATTCATCAATAAACATGTATTGAACATAGACACAGAGCTAGGATCTGGGTATGCCTACAAACTAGACATGGTCTCTCTCTTTACAGAGTTTATGATCTAATGGGGAGATCATGTCTTAGATAACATTGAAAAAGGAAAATAGAGGGCAATGAGAATTATAGAGAACTAAATTTGGATGGGGATGGGGACAGGGACAATTTTCACAGCTCTGGCTTCCAGGACATACTCCAGAGGCCCTTGCCCACACCCTCTAAGTAAGCCAATGACCTATATACTAGAGGTACTGCCAACACCAGGGATGGCAATGTCCACTCAGCACATTTAACTGGGGGGAGGGGTTTAACTCTCTTTCAAGTAAATGACAGGGACTTAAACCCAGATTGTCAACACTCAAGTCAGCAGAGCTGGCTCCGGCAGACAGAACTCAGAGGGGGGGTTAGCCCAGTCAACTGTAATATGGAGCTCTAACCAGAGGCTAACCTCTATAGAGATATTGCTTCTTCCCTGGATTCTTCAAAGAGGGGCCTAGATAAACCACATTTCATATAGCTAAGAAGCTGTCATTATACAAATATACATAAAACAAGAAACCTTACATACCAAAAATTAAGAGAAACTCAACCAGCAAAGAAAACTGTTGGATTTTTTTCACAATCCCATGGCAAAGTTCCACTAGCAGATAGGGTGACCACGGTCTTCTAACTGTTCCGATCAGTGGCAGCTTACCTCATTTCCACGAGACTGCAGAAATATTACTTCAGGCTCTGTGAAAGTTGTCATAGAGATGGACTTGACACGATGAGGTGGGTTCAGACCTCTCCTGTGGGAGAGAAATAGAAAAGTATAATGCAGGACTGTTTATGGGAAGAAGGGGAGGGAGAAAAGAAGGATAAACCAATAGCATATATGTGATGTTCAGATAGAACCCCAACCTGACACTACTATCTGATTCCAGAAAAGAAGAGAAACAAAAATATTTTGGAAGCTTCTAATGAGAGGGAAGAGGGTCAGGAATATGTTGTCATCCTAGTCATTCTGAAGAGGGACGGCAGGGTTTGCTCATCTAGAAGCCTCTTCTAGCCTGGCTTAGATCCCAACAGTTTCAGGCTCTGGCCTGCAGGCCGAAGGGGTGCTTCTGGGAGCTCTGACGTGCAGCTACTTCCTTTTCCTGTTTTATCATTGTTTTAGACCTGCAGCACATTCCCAACCTCCCAGAGTCCATGAAAATACAAATCCCGCCAAGCATGAAAGGCAAAAGCAAAGACCCATGAGTCTGCCTGATAACACTAACGAAGAATTTAGTGGCAAAAAAAAATCAAGGTTCCCAGGACCAACAGATGGTGTAATGTTACATCGCTTGACTCCCACACAGTAGACAAGGGTTTGAATCCCAGACCCAGTGGCTTAAAACTCACACTGCACGTGTGTTTGTATGTGTCCAAAATCCTAAGAAGAGAATGGAGGAGAAGGGACTGTGGCATGGCCATCCCCTCAGGGGGTGATTTCTCACTTTCTCTCCATCTCTCTCTGGTGAGCACATGTGCCCTATAGCAAAAATTTCTCTTTAAAAAAAAAAAAAAAAAAGAGTCCCTAGGCTGGTTGCCCATACACTTGTCTATAAAGAAGGGTGGAGTAGTGATGGGGATGGAGAAGATATCTCTTTCAGGAAACTGTCTCTGGGAAAAGAAATATTCCAGATTTTCTTATTTCTAGACCTTGCAATTAAGAAAGGAAGAAGTCATGAGATATGAGACTAGCATGGGCCAGAGACATACATCCTGTAGTGATACTTTTGTGCCTGCTCTGTGTATTGTTAGCTCAATGGGAGTCCAGCTCTGCCTACAGAAACCCTGTGGAGATTACAGAAGAAAAGACTTCCTTCCTCCCACTCAGTTGATCACCAGAGTTGGAGGGGAACTGTGGGGCTAAACCACATAGGACTTCATAGGTCCGCTTTCTTTATACATTAGTATTACCCTGGTCTAGAGTATTGTCCTTATCAGGCTAAAACAAAAAGGGCTGAACCAGAACAAACAAGATAGATCTTATCAGCTGAGACTACCTTTCCTGCATATCTATAGTCTGTCACTGTAGGCCCAGGGTCTGCATCTTGGAGTCACATTCTCCCTGATCCATCAGTGTCTGACTAATGATACCCCACTGCATTGAGATGTATCTTTGTCCATATTTCCTGGTTCTTCTTGTAAGCTCCTGGTGATCAAGGAGTAGGTTAATTTTTATATCTTCTAAAATGACTACCACAGTGTTTGGTATTTGATGAGGCCTCTCCAAACTTTTACTCTCATGGAAAAAAAAATAAGAAAATCAAGATGTTAAAATAAATATAGAATAGGGTCCTGGCTGATGCCCTCAGGAAAGAAAAGGGAGAGAAGATGTGAAAACAGAATTTACCAAATGGAAATCCTAAAAATTCACAGAGAAGGTAGGAAAAACACATGTTCACACTACGGGTGCACACACAGAATAAAGGGCTCCTGCCAAGTCTGAGAGAATGACAGCGTAGGTGTTAGTGTACGTGAGATAGAGTGGGGAGTGGGGGGACAGATGACACAGTACAGAGTGAACAGTAAAAGGCGGCCGCCCTTTTGGATGATAAATTACTCATTATGGGATTCTAACAAAGGACAGGCAGGACTCTGAAGGCTACAGCTGAGGTCGTTTTCAGAGATTCTGCTGCTAGATATTTGAGAAAAGGGTCTCAAAATACCCTTACAAAAGACAAGCAATATCAAAGAGGACTGATGCCCTGAGGAAAGATAAGAGCAGGGAAAACCAAAAGCAAGGCTTTGTTACCACATATCAAACAATACCTCTGAAATTTGATCTGCCCTGAAGACTCTTCGATCACATTTCAGAGACAGTCCAGCTTTCTCTCCTAAAGCCTCTCTTGCTAATGGCTAAGTGTGCTTTTGTTTTTGGTTCTGGCCATCCTGCTTTTAAACTCTTTCCACTGATCTTTCTCACCTTAACCACTGGGCCTTTCCCCCACAGAATGTCAGATCTTTCTGAAATCTAGCCACAGCAAACCTCATGGTCCCCATGATCTCGGTCCTCTCTCTCCTTTTCTAACAAATACTTACTTTGCTAAAATCCAAATCACTGGTAGGCACTTTGGAGGATATGAAAAATTAGTAGGAGTCTTTGACTACCAGGAGCTTACAAGGACCCAGGAGGCCTGGACAAGGGTACTTCTCAATGCAATAGGGTGCCAGTCAGTCAGGCGCCTTGAACCTCATACATGAGAATGTGACTCCTGGATGCAGCAGTAGGGGAAGGAAGAGAAAGTCATGGGAAAGGTAAAACGAATTATGTTTATACTAGAAAAACAGATTCTAAGCCTATCACAAAAGGGTCATTGACATTTCCTGAAAGGACAACCAGGAACTATTAGCAAACTGTAAACAGGAGGCATGATTCCTTGTTTAGGAGGAGGAGGAGGGAATCATTCTAGACATCAATGAAGAGAAAAGGCTTCAAACAACAGAACTTCTTATAACTAAGCCTGGATTGGAGGATTTCTTTTTTTTGGGGGGGGGGATGTGTAGGGGAGGAAGATGATAGGATGAAGGAAAGGCAGAGAAAATAAATGATTTAGGTGCTCTGGGCCAAAAGAATCTGATGGAACAGGATGTTTCCATAGCACAGTACAAAAAGCATTGCTCTGACCTTGATGTCTGTAGACTGGATTATGTATAACCAGAGTCACAGTTTGGGGGCAGGGAGAATTCTCTACAAGGCAACACTCTGCAGCTCAGGAAGAAGGCCTAGTTACATGGCCTATGAGTCAGATATTTCTTTCTGAATCATAGAGAGGCCACTGCTGGCTGACAGAAGTAATTTAGAAGCAAGAGCCCCCCTTCTTCCAGTAGCTGAAACTAAACAAAGTGTGTTACATTTGGTTGGGTACATACCAGGGTCATGCTACAGGCCAGTTGTGAGTCACTAGCCTGCAATTAAACAGAATCACCTCTCCAGCTTGCACCAGCCTCCCCAGTGTAACTTTAGGGTTCTTCCAAAAAGAAGTAGCAACAGTTAGAAGGAGGCATGGCCCTTCAATCATCACAGCAAACCTATTCTGTTATTTCTAATCAGGAACTGCTGGGGAAATCCAGAGATAAATTTATTTTAGTGCAAATATTTCTACTTGAGAGCAAGTATATTACTAGGACTGTTGATCTACTTCAGTCTCTTTTACCACAGGGCACCTAAACAGCATTTCAAACACTCTGAATTCCCTGGCAAGTAAAGCCACTTGTATGTGTAGATGCTAAAGTCTGCCTAGTTCTCTTTCCTTCTTCTCCTCCCCCCCCCCACTTGTTTCTATTAAGCATACAACTATTTCCACAAATACCACACCTTTTGATCCTCATGGTCATCACCCTCAAGCTGGCCCATATTTTCCTTCTATCTTGCTTCATAAAAGCATCAAACCTGCTCAGCGGCTCAGATAAGAAGGTTCTGCCAGGTCAACAATGGAAAAAAACCAGTTCCACCCAGCACCCAACTTCTTTTATTTGTGCCAGATTTGGGCTTGGGAATTCTCTGCCTCTGAATATTTGTGTTAAAATTTATACAACCAGATTATGTTTCTTTGCTCCTGGGATTCCACTGTTCTGTCACTGAGCAGGGAACAGCTACATAAATTTAACTCTTCTCTTAGACTCAGACATCACTAAGAAGAGTCCCTACTAGGTCTTCAGTAGTTCCTACTAAAAAGACTCCAGGGTCAATTTCACTAATTTTAGCAAATCTCTTCCTAAATTCTGTTTCAACCCATTTCCTTTGTTCTCCAAAACCACCTTCACATATAGGGTCAGATAGAGTGCTGCTAATAATAGGAGCTGCTCTTCTTTTCAAACTCAATCTTAATCCTTTTCTTTCCCCCTCTTCTTCTCATCCCTATAGTAATATACTACTTCCTTATGGGCTTTTCAAATTATTCATGCTCCCTCCCCCTTATGATATATTGCCTAAATCTATAACTTAGTGGGACTGTCCACCCTTGCCCGGAAGACTCATGAATGTGAAAGGTGAGGGAGGTGGGGGTGAACAGTTGGGACTAAAATAGGGGCAAGGTACATGTGTACCTCTCCAACCCACACGGATGGAAAAGTACTGAATTATTAAACAACAAACTACAATTCCTTTCCTTCCATGGAGATAAAAATGCTTCAACTAGGAATTACTAATAGCAAGCCTGATCATGAAAGGAACTTGTCACAAATAAAGAGCTGTCAAGCACATCACTTAACATCCGGCCCAGAGCCCAGATGTTAAGTGATGTGATAATGGGAGTCAGAAATAAGGTGGGCAGAAGTGGAGAAGACAAATATCCATTACAGAGACTTGAAGGACAATGGATTAAAGAATGGACCCAAACAGCCAGGCCAGACATTGCTTAAAAAATTGTGTGTCAAAATTAGTGGCCATCTCTGATGTCAATGAGATCTCAGGCCTCAATGTCCCTTTTTTTGTTTGCTTTTAAAGAGAGATTCTTGCTATATGGTGTGTGTCCTTGCCGGAGAAACAGAGAGACAGACAGCAAGAAATCACTCCCTCAGGGGAAATGGCCAACCTGCAATCCTTTTTTCTCCATTCTTCTTTCTGGATTTTGGGCACAACATGCACACACACTGGTGTGAGTTTTAAGCTGCCGGGTCTGGGACTTGAATTGCAGTCAACTATGTGGGAGTCCAGTGATGTAACCATTACGCCATCTGCTGGTCCCATCAATGTCCCCCCCTTTTTTATTTAAGTTTGCATGTGCGTTCACTGGAGAGAGACAGAGAGAGAGAAGAA